GGAGGGAAAAAATTATATGTTTGTATAGATAGATAGATAGAGGACACAGGGTGAGTTGAAGATGAAGGGATATCTGGAAAATAAAATTAAGGGGTGGGAGAAGATTATACTGGGAGAAGGAGAAAAGGGGAAGTGGAATAAGGTAAAATATCTCACATGAAACAGACAAGAAAAGGCTTTTACAGTGGAGGGGCAATGGGGCAAGGTGAGAGAGAATGACTGAATCTTATTCTCATAGGATTTGGCTTAAGGAGGGAATAACATACACAATGGGGTATGGAAATCTATCTTACTCTACAGGAAAATAAGGGGGGAAGGGGACAAGAGAGCAGGGGGTTGATAGAGGGGAGGGCAGATTGGGGGAGGGGATAATCAAAAGCCAACACTTCTGAGGAGGGACAGGGTCAAAAGAGAGAATAGAATAAATGGGGGGTTAGGATAAGATGAAGGGAAATATACTTAGTTTTTCACAACAGGACTACTATGGAAGTGTTTTGCATGACTACACATCTATAACCTATGTCGAGATGCTTGCCTTTTCAATGAGGGTGGGTGGGTAGGAAGGAAGGAAGAAAATCTGTAACCCAAAGTTTTAAAAACACTTGTTAAAAAAAAAAAAAAAGCACTTTCTTCCCAAATCCTGTGAAGCGGGTAGTGCAAAGTAGTATTATCCTTATTTCACAGAGGAAGAAATTGAAGCTGTGGCCAAATGACTTCTCCACAGTCACACAACTACTGACAGTGTCAAGATTCAACTCCAGGTGTCCTGACAAGCCTATGTATTCTCCACACAACACCACACTGCCTGTCAACAGAATGATCTGGAGAAGTGGCAATGAGAGGTCTATTATGCTCTGCCAAGGTCCCAAAGAAAAGCAGAAAAAAGGCAGTTGTGTTTGGGGTGAGAGAGGCAACTCAATGCTGCTGCAACCAGGTTTATAAAGCTTCCTGTTGTCTGAGAGGAAGAGGAGGAGCTAGTTGAGGCTAAGAATGTGTGAACCATAATTCAAGCTGGGCTGAAACACGAGGAAGCCATGGACTTATTAAACAAAGCCTGCATACAAACTGCTAGGTGACATAGGCAAGTGACTTTCCTCAACTCCACCTTTGGAAAAACAAGTGAGTTGGATTAGACAGTCTCTAAAATTGCTTGCAGCTTTGACATTTCTATGATTCTTATGATCTGATAGCAAGAGTTTCCTCATTAACAAAAAATTACAGAACACTGTCCAGGTGCTACAAACCATCTAGCCAAAGAGAATGCCTAGCTGGAAATGTTTAAGTGTCTAATGAGTGGCACAGATTAATGACACAGCAAATGAGAGGATGCAGGAGTCAGGACTGGAGTTTAACCTTTAAGAATGTATACAATTTACAGAGACCAACGAGAGGAGGAAGAACTCTGCAAGCAAAGCTAACAGCCAGATCAAACACACAGAGGTGGGGAAGCATGAGGAGCAGTGTGCCAGACAGAAAGCAAAGAGATGGGCCTGGCTAGAATAAAGGGGCAGACCTAAAAGAATAAAATAGGCAAGGAGATAAGAGAAGATGGGCACACTGTGAAATTTCTTTTCTGGGACTGGATCCCAAGAACTCTCAATCACTTTGTTTTCAAATCACACTATTCTACCGTGTTTGGTTAATTCTGACTCCGCAGGGGATCAGAAACTTAAGGACATCAGAGACCATCTAGTCCATTTTGCAAATGAGGAAACTGAGGCCCAGCAAAGTTGTGTCTTGCCCAGGTCACAGAGACAGCAATGTCTTCTTACAGGTTCAGGCAGAAGTAAGACGTGAACCCAGATCCTGGCTGCCCAGTCGGTGCTCTTTCCTTTGTACCAGGCTGGTGGGATGTCCAATTCCTTTCTCCCCAGTGAAAAATACAGATCATGGTCTCATCTTTCTGCACCGACGCCCTGCAACCCCTACCCCGCCCCCCAAAAAAAACCAGCCCCAAGAAGAAGGTTTTGGGGGCTGACTTCAATTCAAACAAATCTTACCTTTCTCTGAATTCTTCATACTTGTTGTTTCTTATAGCTCTTCCCTAATCAATGCATACCCACTTTGTTTCAAGTTTTTTGCTATTATAAAGTACAGCTATAGATATTTTGGTATATATACATAAACTTTCTATCTTTGACTTCTTTGAGGTATATGGCCCAAAGTGAGATTTCTAGGTCAAAGGCTATTAAACTTTTGGGACTGAGTCTCTGTGATAGATTTGAATTAAAACCCAAGCCTAAATGCTATGTAAAGCTTAATTTGGGAGGTGAAGCCTGAAGTGTTCACAGTACAGTTTGGGGATCCCTTACCTTTCTGAATCATATCCTTTGTCCGTGGTCGGGGAAGCTTGATGAACATGTTTCCAAAACAAACCATCACTTTATCTGAAACAGTAAATAGCCCATGGTCAGCCTGATAAATCAGCAAGCATTTATTAAGCACCAACTATGTGCCAAGGACACAAATATTAAGAATGAAACAATTCCTACTCCTGAGGAGCTTACATTCTAACAGAGGAGATGGCGAGTACATATATGGTATATCAACAGATACAAATACATTTAAAGTAGTTTGGGAGGGAGGACACGAAGTTGGTGGGGGATGTGGAGGGTCAGGAAAGGCTCTTATGAAGGTAGGGAGACTAGCCAGAACAAGGGCGTTAGTCAACCCCTTACAGAAGCCAGCATCTTTGAGGCTAATGTCAAATTTAGCTACTGATACTCAAGGATTCTTGAAGCAGAGCTTTTATGTGTCTTTTTTTGGCAAGGCAATGGGGTTAAGTGACTTGCCCAAGGTCACACAGCTAGTAAGTGTTTTAAGTGTCTGAGGCTAGATTTGAACTCAGGTCCTCCTCACTCCAGGGCCAGTGCTCTATCTACTGCACCACCTAGCTGCCCCATTGAGGCAGATGGCCTCACATCCCTCCTCATACTTACTGGCGGTTTGACCTGTGCAAGGCAACTTGGCTATTCTCAGCCCCAGTTTCCTCATCTATAGAAGTGAGATAATAGTATTTATCTCATAGGGTTATTATAAGGATTGAATGCGATAGGCACTTCACATATCTTCAAGTGCTATAGGCCCGCTATTATTAGTATTCTTCTCCATTAAGACTTCAAGTATCCATAATTCCCCTAAGGAGGGTGATAGAATTTAAGGCCCAATTTGGCCAAAAAAAAAAAATTGAAATCTCTAACCACTTCTGTGTAGTCATGTTTAAAAACTACCCAAAAAAAAAAAAAAGGAAATTTTTACCTATGTCCTCAAAAGTATTTACTGTATATGTTGTAATAGTGTGTCCTGGACCCAATAAATGTGATGTGAATTTTAGATGTTAATATCCCATTTGGTTTTTTTTTTCTTTCCCTCTCCTCTTCATGCTACTGCTGTGATATGGAATTAAAGATGATGACCATATATTGACCCTAAAAAAAAAGTCACGGTAAATCCAGTCTTGCTCAAATATTCCCCAAACCTAAAAAATACAAATTCCACCGAAGCTAACGTCTCTGAGCCCTGAGCCTTCAAGAGCCCAGACTCACTCCTTTTAACACAAAGCTGGCTCAGAAGCCTGGGTCCCAGCAGATAGTAGCTATATGGGGCTGAAATGTCTTCTTTTCTCTACCCAGAGGAAGAACCTTGGTACGGGGATGGTAGGAGGCTCTACGTGGCTTCCAGGCTCACCCCTGGAAGAGCTCCAAGAGGCCGGGGAATAACTTCCATGACCCCTGACCCCGCTCCCCCACAACTTACCCGACTGGCTGGGGTCTCTCTGAAGGGCCCTCAAGGCTTCCCGGTTCTGGTTCCTTTTCAAGTCCAGGTCCACTATCTAGGAAAAAGCCAGACATCACGGTGGGGCCCAGGGAGGGGAGGGGGGTCAGACGAACTACCCTGGCCCGGCCACACCCCCCCTCACCCGCCCTGGGGCCTCAGTTTCCTCCCTTGTATCAGGACCAGGCTCCGAGTCGGGGTAAAGGAAGGGTGGAGGAGTAAGGAGGGCAGGAATTTGGAAGCGCGCTCTCCCGCTCCCGGACCCTTCGCGGACCTGCTGCTTGTCGGCCAGCACCTCCTCTGCCAGCGCCTCCACCTCGCTCAGGTAGAGCAGCACACGTTCGGCTTCCGAGCCCAACATGATTCCACCAACTGTGCTGTCGGGCAGTCTCCTTGTGCGCGTGCGCTGCCACCACAGCCACGCAAAGAGTCGACCGTGATCGCCGGCGCGCACGCGGGGCACGTAGGCCAGGACGCACGTAGGTCAGGACGTACGCCCGGGGGCGGGGCGGGGGAAACGAAACAGGGGACGGCCTTTGGGGCCACGTGACGATGCCGTCTGGGCTTGGTGGAGTTGGGCGGGGACATACGTGTGCTGGGTAAAGGCAGGTGCTTTGGCGCCCCGGTCAGGCTGAATTCCGTCTGTGCTCTTGAAGTCCGCAAGTCCGAAAATGGTTGTTTCACGGTCTCCACCTCCCAGACGCCCAAGACTCATCCTGAATCCTGGTCGCCTAAATTGGGGAGAGGGGAGTGAAAATAAGAAGAACCCAGCCATTTCTAGTTCCCTGGACAGCATGGGCAGATTGGAGAGGGAGGCAGCCTCTGACCTCCTCTCTTAACCCTCATCTCTACCTTGGTTTCTCATTTTCTCTCCGTAAAATGGGTGGAAAATAAAGCCCTCCACCGAATTCATTGGGAGCAAAGAATAATTTCCAATTCTATTCAACAACTAGATGGTATGTTAGATTTAGGCTCAGGAAGGGCCGCGTTTGAATCCTGCCTTGATTCATCTGTAAAATGGATAGAATAATAGCACCTACCTCACAGGGCTGTTGTGAAGGTCAAATGAGATAACACGTGGAAAGTACTTTGTGAAGTTTGAAGCCGAGTATAAAATGTTCACAGTTATTAACTTCCTCCTCCTCCTCTTCATCATCATTAAAAAGGGCTTCCTGAACACCCAGTGCTCAATGGAGCTTGGGGTAGGTGCAGGGTGGTGAATGGACTTTCCCAGAAGCCTAGGTTCAGCTTTCTGCTTAAGTTATTCAAACTATGGCCTTGACCTAGTGGGAAGAGCTACTTGCAGACTGGAGTAGTCAAGAGAATGTTTTCAGGATCATCATTGGAGCTATATGACCTTGGACAAGTCACTTCTCTAAATTCCTCCTCTGTAAAATGAGGTGACTCAGATTCAAAAATTTTAATTAAATAAATTTTTATTTTATTATAAAAATCTTTAACATTCACTGCTTTAGGAATTTTCTGGTGCAAATAGTTTGGTATGTTGAAAGAAAAGGATTTTATAAGAACAATAATACTTTTTATCAGCTAAGGTAAAATTACAGTCTTTGAACTTCAACATATATTATTCTTATCCTCAGCAGATAAAACAAGAAGTCTTCTCTAGAACATGGCTTTTCTGGTCCTAAACCAAGACCAATAAGTATATATAAGTTTGAAAGAGACAGATGTAGGCTTCATCACTAGTAGTAGTATGGGCTTGGTGTATGATTGGTGCTGCAAAAAGAATATCATTCCACAGCTCCTTTTCCTGCTCTCTGAAAACTACAGAAAATCGGGCTGTCAATGAATTAATTTGTTAATTAATTAGCTCTGAAGGTAGGTAGTGCAGTGGATGGAGTACTGGGTCTGGTGTTAGGAAGACTCATCTTCATGAATTCATATCTGGCCTCAGACACTTCCTAGGTATGTGACACTGGATAAATCACTTAACCCTGTTTGCCCCACTTTCCTCATCTGTAAAATGAGTTAGAGAAGGAAATGGCAAACCATTCCAGTATCTTTGTCAAGAAAGCCCCAAATGGAGTCATGAAGAGTTAGACATGACTGAAAAACGACTGAATAACAACAAAATTAATTAACCTACAAGAGAATATGGCCATAAGGTGGCTCAACTCTGGGTCTACCAGCCAAGTTACTCCATACTCATGCAATAACTTCCCAAAAGGCTGAAGTACCGACCCTACTCACCAGAGGCAATTCAGCCTATAAACTCATACTATTCTTCTTTACCACTAAGGCTCATGGAGCTATACCATCTCATGGCACCTGGGATTTGTCATCAGACTCCATATAGCTCTAGGTGTATGATATAGAATAAATTCCAACATTACTAGACTAGAAAATCAGTCATCTGTCCTTTAAAACCCTCAGCCCACATATGAAAATTTTACTTTCAACTAATTGTCTTCATTTATAAGACTAGGATGATTGCCTTTCTAGTGACTACATGATTTATTAAAGCAACTTTATGTAAAGGTTACTACCTTCAGATCCCATAATCACCACAGGTTTTTAGGGTCAGTCCCAGTTCTTTTGTTAATGAAAAAAAAATGGCTAAGGGGGTAGGCTGAGCAGCCCTACACATATCTCACATACACACACACACACACACACACACACTCATACACACACAATTTTACCCTGCTTTCTGGTAATTTGTGCAGTTTCATTCTGGTCTCAAACTAGGATTGTCATTATAAACCCTTCTGTACATTTAAGCAAAAACTTTCTAACAATTTCAGGTACTAGCTGGCTTAGATGGCCTCTGTGGTTCTGTCCCACACCGAGATTCTTAAATTCTGTGTAGCCCCTTCTCTGGGAGCTAATCCTCACCCTGAAGGTTTCAGATTAGGCCCCCAGAGTAGGAGAGGGACTGAGTGCTCCCAGGTTTCAAGGATACCCTATGGGTCTACAAATCCTAAAACTTTAGCTCACAAGCCCCCACTGTTGAGCATCCTCTTGACAATTAACTCAAAGCAAAAACACTTACTAAGATGGCATAGTAAAAACAGTAGCTTCAAAACATTTCCTCCATAAGCCTGGAATATGCATTCCTACAAACAAACATACACAGTGGGAAGAGTGAGTACAAACTTACAAGTATAATGGTAGTGAGTCTCACAGGTAGGAAACACATGAAAACAAGGCAGCTCCCACTGCCATTACTGTAGGCTGCCATAATGTCCTTTCTCTCCTCATGCTACTCCTCTTAGCAGTATCTCTGCTGGGCAGGTTACCTAGATGTACTCGCAAAGTCTACTTTTCTCACTAGCTTGATTTTTCATTGCCAGGCTAGTTCATTTGAGTCCATAGTGGGTTTTTTTTTTCTTTGCTCCCAGAGTTTCTGCTCACAAGTTGCTTCTGTCACAAGCTCCTCAACCAGACTCCTTCCCTGAGTCTGTGTCTGTCTGGAGACGGTGTATCTCTGCATGTGTGTGTCCCTGTTGGATGCATTTCAACTGTGTCTTGAACTCCCAAACTAACTCTGGAACTGTTTTAAGGGTTACTCAGGACAGCATCAATCTCTTGCCCACACAATATCCAAGTTCTCCTTCTAATTCAATCAAGGACATTTTTCACACTTCATAAAAGGCCTTCTAGGTTTTTTTTTTTTTTGGCTTCTTACTGTCTTATATTATATCTTGGAGGGGTTTCAGTCAACAACCAGTTGTGACTCCCAACCCTCCTCCCATCTGTAAATCTCAAGTTCTTTTCACAGAACAACCTGCTCAGACTTACCACGAATATCCCATCTGCTGTCACGCCTTGTCAATGTCCCTTTCTCTCCACTCACAGAGCCACCAGCTGGGTGCAGACCCTCACCCATGGACTATTGCAATCGACTTTTCCTGGTTCTCCCTACCTCATATCTATCCTCCGTTCAGTGGCCAAATCATTTTCCTAAAGCACAGGTTGATCTTGGCTCTCTATTACCTTCAGGATCAAATATAAAATACCCTGTTTGGCATTTAAAGCCCTTCATGACCTTCCCCCTTACCTTTCAATCTTCTTACACTTTATTCCCCTTTCTGTACTCTACAATCCAGCTACGATGACCTATTTGCTGATCCTTATATGTGACCCTGAGTCTTTCCCCATGCCTGGAATACTCTTCCCTCCTTACTTCCCCTCCTAAATTCTCTGGCCTCCTTCAAGAGTCAGCTCACATCCCACCTTCTTCAGGAGGACTTTCCCTGTCTGTCTCTCCCTCCCCCTCATTCCTTTAGTGCCTCCTCTCTGAGACTGGCTTCCATTTACATTGAGCGTATCTTGTTCATACATAGTTATTTACATCTCTCCCCCATTAGTATGTAAGCTCCTTGAGGCCAGGGACCACATTTTTTTCCCCTTTTTTTTTTGTATCTTCAGCACTTAACTTAGGGCCTAACACCTAGTTGGCACTTAATAAATGTTTGTTGACAAACTGACTATGACCACAATTTGTCAGATTGGGTGAAGAGAGATGAGGACAGGTTGTGGTTTGTGGAGTAATTTAGATATCTCCTCATCCTTAAAATGACTGAATTAGAGTAAGGTATAAAGGATTTTAGAGTTCTGAATTCTATGGTCTTCCCTCTTCCCCCCACTCCAGAAATTGATCGAGCACATTAGACTAATTTGTAAACAGAGCTATCTTTGACTCTTCCTTCTCCCTTGCCCTTCTCCCATACTCAGTTAATTGTGAAAGGGCACTTGGAGATCGTCTAGTCTAAACCTTTCATTCTACAGATAAAGAAGCTGAGGCTTAAAGGATTATAGTAATTTGTCCAAAATCACACAGAATTCAGGTCCTCTGAGTGCCAGGTCTGTGTGCCACTACATCATGTATTTAGAACTTGGTAGTATTGTAAAAGTAGCTGACTGGAATGATATGTGTGTGTATATTTTCTTTATATACATGCACACACTTGTTATTGTTCAGTTATTTTCAGTTGTATCTGACTCTTCATGACCCCATTTGGAGTTTTCTTGGCAAAGATACTGGAGTGGTTTGCCATTTCCTTCTCCAACTCATTTTATAGATGAGGAAACTGAGACAAACAAGGTTAAGTGACTTGCCCAGGGTCACACAGCTAGAAAGTGTTTGAGGACAAATTTAAACTCAAGTCTTCCTGACTCTAGGCCTGGCATTCTATCCTGTACCACCTATATGTATGTGTGTATATATATACATATACACATATGTATATATATATGTGTGTTTTAAATATATATAAAATAAAATGCACATTATATATATAGATAGATAGATAGATAAATAGATATGTATATGTATATTTTTGTCCCAATGATACCTAGTTCGTCATTGATCTTAAATTCTTAAGATTGATCCAGTTTCTCCTCTTTTAATTTTTTTACCCTAGTGACTCCTTGTTTACCATTCATCTTA